GAGCCTCTCGCAGTCCTCCCTCCAGCACGAAATAACCCCGGCACCGCCATCCCCACCCCCCCAGCGAGCGCGGAGAGAGAAATTTCCTCTGTGATTCTGGGAGCCCGTCGTCTCATGCGTGTTTCGTTCTCATTGGAGTTTCCCTTCCGAGTTTATTTTTGGTCGGGCCTGAAATAGGAAATGAATTGCTGGCGATGAGCTCGCTTTTATCGCTGCTCAGCAGCCAAGCCAAAACAAACGTGCTGCCATCCAACCCGACGGCTCCTTCTTCGGTTTGAGGAACTGGGACAAAATGGGGAGAAGACCTGTGCTACAGTGCTGTTGGAGGAGAGCACGGGCCACAAGAGCCCCCCGCGCTCCTCTGCTCCCCCCGGCCGAGGTCCCGTGGACAGGAGGGACGGTGACTGCTAGGCAGGTCCTGCCCCATCACGGCATCTCCTGTGGCATCACCCCCTGCCTGTCCCTGGCCGTGGGAGGCCATGCAACGTCCCTAGTCACCGTTGTCACCAACGGCCTGACCTATCTGCTGGGGAAGGTGGCTTCAGGGACGGCGGCTTCAGGGACGGCAGTTCCCGAAGGTGGCTTCTGCTCCATCTCAGGTGAGCAGAAGACCTGGATTCGCTCCACACTACGACGTCCTCCTGTGACTGGGTTCAGCTGGGTTTTCCTTGAGGCTGAAGGCTTCTGCACATTCAAGAGAGCAGCAGAAAGCGGCTAAGAAAAGCAAGTGTGTTTACGCTACGCACGATCTTTCTGGTGGAACTCACGGCTGCAGGGGAAATCGTTGTATGGCTTTCAGCCTCTGCAGAGCTGTGGACCCCTAAACAAAGTCCCCTCACTGGTGTCTGTCAGAGGGTGCTGTCTGTCGGAGACAGCCAAAGCGCGGTGGTGGGAGGAAAGCCTGCAGGCCCTGGCACGATGCTTAGAGGAGAGATTCGAGGTCACGTCATGCAGGGGCATCAGCCCTTCGTGACGCTGAGGTGTGGCAAAGCCCCATCCGCTGCGATGGCGATGGCCCGTGGCATCACCGGCCACTTCTTGGAGAAGCACCTGACCCATCTGAGCTGGAAGGACCCTGCTGAAAAGAACACGGAGGCTACGGCGGACCTCAGGTTGAATATCAGCTTTAGAAAGCTGGGGCCAGAGCCCTGCACCCCATTGCCAGCCCCCTGTGTCCCCCCACATGTGTTCCAGCACCCTGGACACCCAGCCAGGGCTGGACCCTCTTTGCCCGGTGGCCGGAGCTCCCTTGAGCCCAGGATCCAATCCTGGCTATGCTGGAGAGGGTCTGACTGCAGGACCACCTGCCCGTGGGGAGCACGGGGCGCGGAGAGAAATACATACGGAAGAAATTCATTTTTAATAGGAAAGCACTCTGCAGAGGTGCCAGGCTCTGTCGTACCAAACCAACCCCTCCAACTCCGCTGGACGGGCCGTGGGACCCCAAAGGGTGCCCGG